CTTTCTCGAGTACGCTCTCAGTTGTATTTTCTCAATAACATTGATAATTTTGTGATCTGCTGTTCAATATTTTTAACAATTTGCATCAATGATACCAACTGAAGGTACAGAATGAACGCGTGCCTTCTGAGCCGGTTGTCCGCTGGAGTTCGGTGGCAGAGTGCTTTGAGCTGTCGCCATCTCCGTACTGGTATTCCCAGCCTAAGTCAGGAACTCGGTGATGATGGTCTACCGAAAGACTACAAAATAAAAACGTTGAAAGCTGGAAGTCGAAGACTCGATACTTTTGTTAATCGTGCCAGTGGAAAGAGCAGCTCGTAAGTAATTGTGATTTTTCTGTTTTCTAGAAGCATTATTTTGCCATCATGGCTTCCAATACATTATCAAAGACCCGTTCTGATGAACTTGGATGTATTAAATGGGTTAGAGAGCTTCTAGTATGCCTTAAGTATTCGATATGAATGAAGTTTTGTAAGGCGACTTCTGAACTGCTTGATATATCCCTACTCCCAGTGCTTGTTAGCATACCACTTTACTCAGGGCTCAATTTCCGTCTTGAAATTAATTACTACTCATCTGGGAAGGGTAATAATATCCCATCATATCCTAATCTTTATGAAGAATTCATGGATGCTCCATGATTCTAGATGCTATCTTCAGTTCAAACGTTTTCAGGCAAGTGGAGAAACTAATCCTAGGCGGTCGTGTCCGGGTAAACGAGGATGTCCACACCAAGAAATCTTACAATGTATGTCGATATGCATTTATAAGTACTTCTTTTCGGTAATCTAATGAAATACTTTGGAAGTTTCAATATGGGGGTAGGCAGCTTTCATGTGCTTTGGAACTTTCAGCTGCGAAGTAGACAATTTTCGACTACGTACACTTTCTTCTTTTTGCCTTCTTTCAGAATACAAAAACATGAAGCAAATACGGGGTATATCAGCGCTTTTCTATTATGAATGCTTCCCACAGCTACGTTTGAGTTTCATCCATAAACCAAACTGTTACATATTTCTGTGGTCCATCCCAGAACCACAGGATATCATGACCGTAGAAACGTAGTTTAGCAACCTTCAAAATAATTTTCTGTCAGATTAGACAGTTTTTCGAAAACATCAAAATGGAATATTCTGTCGTTCATTAGGCATTACTTGTTCTGTCTTTTAGGTACAGAAAGACGACTGTGTTGATGTTTGGATTGGCCCATATCCAGAGAACAGCGATCTGGCCGAAGTGGAACGATACGAGGTGTGTCAAAATTAACAGTTCTGTGGGGTTCACAAATTAATGGGAGAGCATTCCAAGATGATAAACTGAATGGCAGAGCCGAGAGACTTGCCATTTAAGATTCTTCCAGTTAATCGGAGAGCTCTCCTTTGGATGTGTCGAAATGAGCTAGTTCGAAAGGTTAATCCGTAAGTACGATTCCTCAAAACGTCGAATAAAACTCACCGAGAACTAACAAACAACCGATTTTGTGGCATGTTCTCCTTTTGGGGCTCTTTCCTATTCCCAAACAAAAGTGATGGCGCAGGAGGGGAAAGCGTAGATGGTACGAATGACCTCCCTTACAACCCCTTCGATATCGTTCGGTGCTATACATCACTGCAAAAACCATAACTAGTGACAGAATATCCTCTGCTGAAGGCTATCATACACTGTGCTGATTTTTTTTCAGGTAACAAACTATGAGGTAACCGAAAAAGGCTACGATATTCATATAAAGTCTTGGAAAAAATTCCTCGTTGAGAACTGGAGAGGCGGGGGCGCTTGATCAGTTAGACTATCTTAGAATTTTAGATTTTGCTGCAGATTTGAACATATTTTCGATCCTTTTGCTCAATTTTTCACTTTGAAATCTCCTCGGTTTTGCTATGTAGCACTCTCTGTACTGTAATTTACTCGTTTTAATCGAAAATTTATTTACTTGTGTCGAGTACAATATTTCTACAAGATTGTGTTTGTAGTGTTTTGAATAATTTATGCGTCTTTCTTGTTGTCCACTAGCCTTTTTCGGCATCCCGATTCAACTGAGCCATTTTCTGGTGGTATTCTAACGTGCAGCTAACCCATCCTTCCAATTCGGCAAAGTGTGTTGCTTTGTTTTTCGGTAGCTCGTCCACCAATGCAGTTACCTGTTGTTTTACATTAGATTTGTGTTTTCGATAAAGATTAGAAAAGTTCGTAAGGAAGAGAAGTCAATGTTACTATGGTCCCTCCAACTTGAATTACAATTAGCTAGGTATGTGTGTCATCGGCAATGTTCGTTGCCTATGAGACGGAGTAGCGTTCTTGTTGATTGATTGGTACGGTATAAATTTGGACGAGAAATCCGCATTGCAAATGGACGAGAAATCGCTAGTGGATAAGACTTTGCGCAATCACCGTAACCTCCCACTGGAAATTCAAATTTCCTGTCATAGCGCGGGAACGCGCGCGATTGGATGCGGCTAGAAAGGCACGCCATTTGGCCGTTTAGGTGCAAAATACCGATCGATCAATATTTTGCAGTTTCTGAATATGCTGGGCGAGCCATTGATTGATTCTCATTCTTTGGTTCGTCTTGGTATCATAATGTTCTCTGACTTTTCCCTAATTCCCACTGCTTTTTCCCGATTTTTTCCTGCGCGGTCTATCTGGTCCTCGTATTTTCTAAAATTTCCCTTTTTTCTATTTTAACTTTCAAAATCGAGTTTCATTGACTCCTTATTGCCCATTTCTTGTACTGTTTTCTTCTTTAATTACGTTGTTATTTACTCTTCCCTCCTTTCTGTAATTGGAGCTCGTGCTGGAACGGTGGCCGTCTTAGTTGGCGTTCACCTTTTTTACTGCTCCTTTTGTTGGTAAACGAACTGAGCTTTTGAGAGGCTCTCGATTCATTAGTATAGGAGAGCCTGGTCTTCAAGAGCTCTCTGAAAGTCTCGTTCAATCTCAACCAGCAATTCCAAATGATGTACTGTAGGGTTCGAGGTATAGGTCTGTAAGGGCTCAACATGGCATCCCATCTTGTTTACCTGTCTGAGCTTCTCTTCAAATGCTGATACGGCCATATTGTGGAGATTGTTTTTTATAGCAATCAGCTGTGCATCTTTTGCTGCCTTCAGTTCTGCTTTGGTAAAATCCATTTCTCTTCGTAATTTTTCGAGCTCTGAAATTTATTAAATGGTTGGGGTTTATTTCATAATGACGCAGAAAATCCATCCGACCTGTTCGTTTGGCTCCAATTGCCCAATAGTCATGTTTGATGAACGTTTGTATGTTCTCTATTGAGCGTTTTGCTTTTCGAATATAGTCACGTTGTTCCTCACCCAGCTTATCATATAATTCCATTTGTGTCTTATGATTCTGAACAGGCAGTTTGGTTGAAAGCCAGAGTCAAATGGAGGCCAACAAAATCACCTTGTAATCTTCAAGACCGCTTTGATTTCGAAGACATGCGGCAACGAGCTCGTGTCTATCATGTCCATCATGAGGGAGCAAGTCCGTTTTATATTCCTTTAAGAATGGTTATGATATTTGAATGGGATAATCACGGTTTTAAAATCAGCTCTAATATCGTGGAGATTGGTTGGTGCTCATAGAACTGTTCGAAGATCGCATAATCCACATCAGGTCTAGCAGGCCTGACGCAGTAACCAAAGTCCGTGGACCACGTCTGCGGAAC